AGTTCCTTTACTAGCCCAGCAAGCCATAAGGCTTCTTTTGCAGCTTCAGCTACTGTCATATACTCTGCTTCAGTTGTAGATAATGTCACAATAGACTGAATTGTTGATTTCCAACATATAGACCCTCCACCAAGAGTAAACACATACCCAGTTGTAGACTTTCTGCCATCCAAATCACCTGCATAATCTGAATCGTACCCTACAACTGAAGAATCATTTTGCTGACTGCCAAAAGTAGTTTCATGTCCTACAGTAGTACCCTTCAGATACTTGAAAATAGACTTGGCTACTTCTTAATGTCGCCTTTCAGGTTTGAACATGTATTTGTAGATTTGACTAACAGCATGAGCCAAATAAGTGTGAGTACATATCATTGCATACATCAGGCAGCCAACTACAATGGCATATGAAACCTTTGTCATGTCTTCAATTTCCCTGTCTGTCTTCGGACACTGTTCTAAAGAAAACATAAAATGATTTGCCAAAATAGTGCTCACAGGCTTTGCTTTGTTCATCTCAAACATGTCCAACACTTTCTCAACATAGCCTCGTTGAGATAAACATAGTCGACTTGAGCATCTATCTCGATGAATCTCCATTGTAAGAATCTTCTTCGTAGGACCCAAGTCTTTCATGTCAAATTTCTGGCTCAATAAAGCTTTCAAACCACGTAAATCATGCATAATCTTTGCTGCAATCAGTATATTGTCAACATACAACAACAAAAAAATAATAGAACCATAATCAAGGCCCTTGACATAGACGCGACAATCACACTCACATCTCTTATAACCAATCTAAATCATGTAGGAGTCGAACCGCATGTACCAATGTCTTGGAGAATGTTTCAACCTATACAACAATTTCTTTAATCTGTAAACCAAATACTCCTGTCAAGGTTGAGTGAACCCTCCCGGCTGCTCCATGTAAATCTGATCCTCCATATCACCATGCAAAAATTCAATTTTAACATCCATCTGCACCAAATGCAAATCCCAAGTGACTACTAATATAAGCACCGCCCTTATTGAAGTATGTCTGACCACAGGAGAAAATATTTCAACATAATTTATCCTCTTCTGCTGTGAAAATTCATTTGGTTCCAGTTGAGCCTTGAACTTTTCCACTTATTTTTCTGATACTGATGGTTTCCTTTTGTACACCCACTTGCACCCAATAGCCTTCTTTCCCT